TAAGGGACAACGCCATTAGGCCACAGGAAATACGAGTGATTTCTAACAAGATTTTGTGGCCCACCAAAATCACTGGTCCTCTCAATCTGTGCCCGCTGTCCAGGGAGTAGCTTGATATCTCCTTCCCACAGAGTTACATCTAGTCATTAAAAGAACACACAATGCAAATCATGTGTTGCACATTATGTTTGCCTACTTTTTCTTGCATTGATGTCAGCCTCTGTCTCACTGCTAGTACTGGCAATAGCACTCAAGCCCCACTGCAGTAAAATGAATCCAAGTACTAAGAAATATCCCTTCATCTTTCACTTAAGATTATGAATTTTTTTCCTGCAATGCTACACTTAGAGATACATTTTACTTTTATAGTTTTACGGAAGCCATGCAGCAAAAGTGGATATGAGAGCATGGCTTTCACATTTTCACACTCAAATTACTTCTTATTCACAAAGTGTGTAATAGTACATGCACATATTACATCATTTTCATATGTAATGTGAAGCCACTAGTTTGATTTAATTAATGCATTGAATATACACGTATAAGAGCAAGTACTCATACAGTACTGTATGTGGGCATATACTCATCATCGTCCCACAAAACATGTGGTCTTTCTTTAGTATGATTACGTGGCGCCACTCTCTGTGGTTGTGGATACCATTAAAAGTCGATAGTACGTGAAGTAGTAGTAACATCATTTAGAGTTTACCCACACACGTCATTTCCTAAAGATACTAATATTTATACCAACGCATTCAGTGACACATTGTGCAACATACACCAGTAACAATTCTTATCTCTGTAAGAACATATCTTAGCAACTACCACAAACAAATTAAGAAATACACTCAATATTATGTACATTACATACTATTAGAATCAGATCTCAAGTCATTTATCATTTTTATAATTTCAAAAGTATTATCAATAATAATATTATTAATGGTGTCTAAACAACAGGTGTTTAAGATGTACCACTTGCTGCAGCTGTGCCGGCTGCGTGCTGAGCTTTTCTTAGTTGCTGGAGATATTTCTGCATTTCTTCTCTCTTCTTTTTAGCACGACGATGAGTTCCCAGCTACAAAACAAGAGATCAGATGAATGCAAAGACCTAATCTAATTTAATGGCCACACAAACAGAAAACACACAAGATAGTTTTTCAGCTGAAGAACTCTTAACATATGCCACTCTAAAGTCAGTTGATAGAAGGATTGCACTTGTATATGTAAAGATTGATCCACTCAAACTAGATGTAGGTGGATAAGCCACATCAAAGTGATCATGGGATATCAAGTGAACCCATTTACTCCCGACATGTAGGCTCTTCTCCTATCAATTACACCCATGATATCTACACTAGCTCTCACCATACTTTATAATACTAAATACTTAAAAAATACCCTTATTATAGTGGGCGTGGCTAGGATAATGACGTCATACACCCACCCCTTTAATTAAATATTATAATCCTTACCCTCCTTTTGGCAAATTTGAGAGCTCTCTTATCTTTCTGGACCTTTAATAACTCGACCATTCTCTTCTCGTAAGGTGCCAACCCGCAAACCTCTTTCACAATCTCTCGAACAAATTTTACTCGCTTCCCAAGCCTCTGTAATAAAAATAATTAATTTAAAAATAAATCATAGATATCAACCTACCCCTTTCATGGAGGAGGGTCTGGTTTTCTTAGCAATGGGGGTAACCTTCTTCCCCTTTTTAAGCCCAACGCACATTTCATGTTGGATCCCCATATTGTCCTGAAAAAGAAAGAGCCTCGTGGTCAACTTCTGCGCATGCGCAGAGCCAAGACCACGTGCTCCTTCTCCAATTCCCAAAATGCAAGCAGGTCCCATTTTAGTTCTCAGTAAGTTCTAATTGATAATAAGTGATGAATACTAATTGATTACTTTTTATAGATCAGTCCACTAAACGTGAGACTGGCAGGAAAGCACAGCTGAGCAATATACAGGCAGGGAAGGTGGGTGGACCATATATAATTAATTAATGTTAATTATCATATTTATTCAGACAATAGCAGACGTTATAAGAACATGTCTTGGACCAAGAGCCATGCTAAAGGTACGGTATAAATTAACATCTCATTATGGGTGTGGTTGCGATGTAATTAATATTGATGCCACGCCTCTTTAAAATAATTAATTTTCACCTCATTAAAATTAATAATATTTTAATATTTAATAATAAAAGTAATTATTGAATATATTTTAGATGTTAATGGACCCAATGGGTGGTATTGTAATGACTAATGATGGCAATGCTATACTTCGTGAGGTAAGAGTTACAATTCCCCCAGCATTAAGATCAAATATTTATGCTTCTTTCCTTTCAGATTCAAGTCCAGAACCCAGCTGCAAAGACAATGATTGAAATAAGCAGAACACAAGATGAGGAGGTTGGGGACGGTACAACATCAGTCATTATTCTAGGTAAGATGGAATGGAACATTATATTAAATTTATCATTACTCGTATCTCTTCTCTTATACCTTTCTCTTTTCTTTTATTTGTCCTCTCTCTCTCCCCCTCTCTCTCTCTCTCTCCCCCTCTTTCTTGACTTTTCTCTTCTCTGTAGCTGGTGAAGTGTTGTCAGTGGCTGAGCCATTCCTTGCCCAGCAGATTCATCCAACTGTTATTATCAGTGCATTTAGACAAGCACTGGAAGATATGATTAATTATGCAAAGGATAAGATCAGGTATTCCTTATATTAGTTATAACATCTTTGTATGTAGAATAAAACAATTAATGTGTACAATTTTTCTACTAAGTGTATCAAAATGTTCTTAATTACTGTAGTTAGATAAAAGCCGTTAAGTGTGTAAAATATTTGCTCAGTACTTTTCATAAGCACCTGTTGGTTACCAGGGTGATCATTTTCCCACCTGCTAATCCAACAAGACTCATACCTACTAGTGATGGGGAATAGACTGAGTGGATCAGATATGCTTGAGCTCAGACCTCATCTTGAAGGATTTGAGCCAGAGTCACTGAGCAGGGTAATATGGGACGCCATCAAGCAGGTCGGAGTTGATGACAAGTATGAGGGATTTGGCATTCACTTTGAGGGAGACTCTGTTACTTTTTGGGACAGCGACGGGCTAGAGCAACTGCCACGATTAGCATTCCTTCAAATACTGGAACTGATAGCGAAGACCACGCTAGAGAGTTACAACCAGTTATACGGCATCAAGAAATCCTCGCCGACCCTGCAACTAGAACTGGCTCTTGATAACTTGAGTAAAGAGATAAGACAGTTAGAGTTGATCCAAGATCCTCAAGAAATGTATGATAGTCTGGACTCTATTCCTACTAATCCTTCTGCCCCTCATCAAACCAACCGTTCCTCTGTCGTTGAACTGATTCGTGTTAGACGAGGCTCCTGTGCTTGGTTTACTGCTGAAGGTAGCGAAGAGGATAAACCCAATCAACACGGGAGCAGCAGAGCCCTTGATGGAGGAAGGAGCATGACTAGTACTAGCAACATAGGAAAAGGTTTAAGGAAGTCTCCTTCAAGAGACGATCCCAAGCCATCCAGTGCCAGCCCTCAGTTCTTAACAGTTGAGAGGCAATGGAGGGACGCCAGTGATTATCCTCACCGTAAGAAAGGGAGTGAGAGATCTCGTAGGAATAGTCTGGTTGGTATAGAGGGTATCGTTGAGAGGATGCCCGAGTTGAGATCCCGCTATGAGAAGAGTCTTCACAGTCCTGTGGATGATAGGCTCGGCCGAGTGAGGAATAAAATGCAGAGTCTCACGTTTTTATTCTCACCAGTCAAGAAGAACAGCGAGGGGACGTGGGCATCTGCTGTTGAGATGACTAGCGATTATCAATGACTAATTATTTCACTATTAGTAGTACTACTTGTACATGCATGATAACTATTATTAGATTTAAGTGTCTTTACATTTGAATGTATTATTTAGAAACAGTATTTATCAATGTTTCAAGATTTTTATTTTTAATTGCTTAATGAGAGAAAAGTTTTTGTTGTTCAAAGTTTCTCATATTCTACTCCAATTTTTGATACCCAAAACTATGGAGCAGAATTAACTTTAAAACTTTTTTACATTATTATAATAGTGTATTAGAAAATTTAATGTTCTTAGTTCAAGTTGTAACATGTAGCGTATTTCTATGTGCTTAGCTACTTACTATATGCGACCATAATTGACAAAAGGTCCTTATGGCGGATAGGAAAATTGGTCTTTATAGCCTAAAGAATCCAACTTCCTAAGCTCCATTTATTATAAAATTACTCCAGAAGATGCAAAAAGTTACTATGTAACTTTTAGAAACAATTGTTGACTAACAGAACACTCACAGGTTGAAATTTTTCATTATAATGATGAATTTAAAAATCCGCCATAAGGTACCTTTTGTCAATTATGGTCACATATTCTTAAAACTACTACATTGTCATGTATTAAGTATTTCATTCTCTCTCTTCCTTTTCTCATAATACAAACTCTTTAGTGTTGAAGTTGATGTCAGTAATCGTGATGAGATGCTCAAGATTGTCAAGAGTGCCATTGGAACTAAATTCATACGCAACTGGTCTGACCTGGCCTGTGACATAGCAATGAGAGCAGTTCAGACTGTTGTGATTGATAAGGGAGACCGGAAAGAGATTGATATTAAAAGATATGTCAAAGTAGAGAAGGTACAATATATGTACTTGTACATAGCAATTGTGACACAGTATGGCATATATGTATGTGACTATAGCTTGTATCAAAGCAGGATTTCCCACAAAGCATGTGAAGTGAGCTGACAAGCATTATAATAATAGTATGTAAGGCAACTTCAAAAATTCATAAAAAATCCAATTTTGATCGGAATCAGCTCAAACTTTCTACACAGCTTAAGAACATGTATATGTATCAGAAAAAATTATAAAAATGAAGAATTCTCTCCTAGTCATTTTTGGCGAAATTTGGCCAAAATCCCTGTACTATAGCACAGGGACTTTGACTCGATTTTTGAGTAACTTTAAAAATTCATAAAAAATCCACACTTGATCGGAATCAGCTCAAACTTTCTGCACAACATAAGAACATGTATATGTATAAGAAAAAAATATATAAATGGAGAATTCTCTTTTTTGCCATTTTTGATTAAACTTGGCTGTATAATAGTACAGGGTCTTTGAAGCACCTTGAGCCTGTGTATTGTGCGATATGGAGTGCTAATTAATTCTTTTAATGCATTGTAGATACCTGGAGAGAGTACAGAGGAGAGTGAAGTACTCCAAGGTGTTATGTTCAATAAAGACGTGACACACCCTAAGATGAGACGAAGGATAGAGAACCCAAGGATTGTACTACTGGACTGTAACCTTGAATATAAGAAAGGAGAGAGCCAAGTAAGAGGAAGGGGGAGAGAGAGGGGGGAGGAAAGATGAAGAGAAAGAGAGAGAAAGAAATTAAGAAAGATGGAGAGAAAGAGAGAAATGATGTTGTAAGGGAAGAATGGAAGAGAAAAGAATCTGTCCTGTTTTTTAGAAGAAGTTTCTTCTCCTCTAGACTAATGTTGAGCTGTCCGGTGAAATGGATTTCAATCGTCTCCTACAACTAGAGGAAGAGTATATTGAGAAGATGTGCAATGAAATAATAGCAGTCAAACCTGACCTTGTCATCACAGAGAAAGGAGTATCGGGTCAGTCAATGTTTAATAATGATTCCCATTTGTATCACTAACAGAGAATTCTCCATTTATATTATTTCTGATGCATATATCATGTACTTGGTCTTTTGTTGTGTAAAAATTTTGAGTTGATTTGGATTAAAATTGTATTTTTTAAATTAAAAAAGTGACTTAATTAACATGTAATAATTATCATTATTCAGATCTTGCTCAGCACTACTTGTCAAAGAGCAATATCACTGCTATACGTCGAGTCCGTAAAACCGACAACAACAGAATAGCAAGAGTCTGTGGGGCGACCATTGTGAACCGCACGGACGAGCTAAAGGAGGAAGACGTGGGAACTGGTTGTGGTCTGTTCGAAGTGAAGAAGATTGGGGACGAGTATTTCACTTACCTGATCGACTGCAAGAATCCTCAAGCTTGTACTATTGTATTGAGGGGAGCCAGTAAAGACATTCTTGCTGAGGTATTTTTGTGGTTTGTTAGTTAATGATATTCATTGCTTACATAATTAACCAGTCAGGCAACCCACAATGCTATCATGAGGTTTTAGCAGTATTTAAACTCATAGCTGTATGTGAGATGCTAACCTTGTTCTTTGTGTATTGTTGTGCCCAAGCACAAAATTTTTGGAAGGACTTTGAGGTCCTGCCTTTGTGCTTATTGCTAAGATAATAAAAATTATTTTGTTCAAGTATCTCTAATGTGTCTCTTCAGATAGAGATTGGCAAATTAAGAAATTTGTGATTGATTCTGATTCCAAATACTTTTGAGACCGGAATCAATGGAATGGAATACCGAGTCCGAGTACTAAATCCATGCATGCGCAAAACCACGTGTTATCTATTACAGCACTAAAATGCAATAATAATGAATAATTAATGTGTTAACTATTATTGGTGTGGCTTAATTTGGAATCGTTTCAAATGATTCCCACTTCTCTTTTGATATACAATGTAAGTATGATTCCATTCACTACTTCATACACAGGCAACTTGTTGCTAGCAAAATTTGTAGTTACTTTGATCTTGTAAGTAACATGTTGCTAAGAATAGAACAGCCTTTTGTTTCTGGCAAAATGTTGCTTACAAATCAAAGTAACCACAAATGTTACAAGCAACAAGTTGCCTGTGTAGAAGGCCTTTATACATATGGTACTAGTATGTTCATTTTCATTAGATGGAGCGTAATCTTCAAGATGCTATGCAGGTGATCCGTAATGTTATTATTAATCCTCGTCTTGTTCCTGGGGGTGGAGCCTTTGAGATGGCACTAGCTCAGATGGTCAACGAAAAGGCCAAGGTACCTAATATATACAAGGAACTAAATATATGATATACCTTGAAACCATTTATAATTATGTTATGTGTTGTTGTGTACTAATTCAATTGCTGATTTTAGTTAGAGATCTTTATTCAATAGTGATCACTTCCTTTACTTTATAGAGTGTGGCTGGTGTACAGCAATGGCCTTATAAAGCAGTTGGTAAAGCACTGGAAGTTATTCCCTGTACTCTGATACAGAACTGTGGAGCAAGTACCATCAGGACTCTAACACAACTAAGAGTTAGTCCATATAAGTGGTTTTTTCGAGGGAATTATATTTTGCGAAATCTACTAAAATTTCAATTCACAGATTTTAATTTCGTGAATTCTACCACGTGGTGCCATCTGAGTACCATATTAAATTGATTTTTGTGGATTTTATTTTCGCAAATTAGGAAGGAATCCACCAAATTTGCAACCTTTGAAAAACCACTTATATACAGTACCTCCTCACACGTCGGAACTTATTAACATTTTTTGCCATATTAGCCATTACATGCATCATTAAATATGTATTATACTTGTATAATAAAGCAAGGAATCTATTAATTAATATGTTTATGCTTACTGTAATAATAACAGTACCGTATTTATAAACATGCTGTACATGTATTTATACTGCAGTCATACTTGTGTCATTTTGATGCTTGGCAGCATAACTATAATTATTAAGTGACAGTGAAGCAGTATTACTATGACACTAAGCCTTTATATGCAAGCATAACATTGTTAATAGATGCACTCTCCTTCCTGTTGATCCTTCAGTTTATGAGATTAAAGCTGAGAATTATTAAACTGATGAGATTACAAACGAGTTTTATTATGTCTCTAATGTCATTGTTTAATTTGGTACCTCTTGATCATTGTAGGCAAAGCAGGCAACAAGTGGCGGTCATACGTGGGGGATTGATGGTAACACTGGGAATATTGTGGATATGAATGAGCTGGGAGTGTGGGACCCTTTAGCTGTTAAGGAGCAGACACTAAAGACTGCTATTGAGGTGAATAATAGGGAAGATAATATCATATTGAAGGATAGTGAAAAGGAGACAAAGAGAGAGGGAGGAGGGATGAGAGGAAGGGGAGGGAGAGAGAGAAAGAAAGAAAGAAGTATTGAAGAAAAAGATAAGCAATATAGGATAATTAGCATTATCAATTATAAGTATATATACATGTACACTAATACATTGAGTTTATACTTGTATTATGTTTTTTTTTTCATGCCTCTAGACTGCAATCCTGTTGTTACGTATTGATGACATCGTCTCTGGTAGCAAGAAGAGCAAGGAAGAAGGAGGAGGTGGTATAGCCCCTGAACAATGATAGACTTCAACTCATTGTATTGTATTGTGTGGAAGGTGTTTTGTCAGTAGTAAAAATGTATTGATATCTGAAAATCATCTTGACAAAAAAGATTTTATACTTGTTATGAGATTGAAAAGTGCTTGATTATTGGCATATTTTTACTATTTCAGATTCACTTTTAAAATTCTTTTTTAATAGTCTTGTTTATAATACATTAAGGGTGTACATGTATTTGGCCCATCCTAACCACACACAGTGATGTATTGACTATCAGTTAGACACTTCAAGCAATACTCTTTAGTATGTTTCTTTATCTGTTTTTCTATTTACTATTGTGAATAATTCTGATTATGTTTATAATGCTGTACAAGCCACAACACTCCAGTGCTTATCTAAGTGTTAGTACACAGATGCCTTTTAAAGGAAGGGACCGGCTCTAGTCTTGTATATGTCACTGAGAATGGCTTCATTAGTTTCATAATTCAACTACCAAATATCTCCTTATAATTTGCAAAAGGTGTGTTTGCATGTAATTTAATTTGTAAAAGAAATAAAACAATTACTATACATTACACTAGTAGTATTGTTATTTTTATTGTTGTTTTTGTCACTAGTGGAGGTTGTGCCATTCGGCTATGTGTTTTCCAGGAGCTGTGATGACATCATTCCAATGCCTCAACTGATCGCCGGTTGAGTCAGGGCCTAGTCTTATCATACCCAGCTCCCGTAAGCGGCTGTGTTTATTTTCGTTGTATATCAGGACTGTTATCTTGATATCTCTAATGTTCTCCATGCCTACAGTACAGGAAACTGCCTCGTTGAATATCGGATTAGTGCTGTTTGATTTCTTTTTAGTTTTCAGTTTAGTGAGAATGCGATTCTTTAGCTCCACGCATACTTTAGCGACTGGGTCTAAAGAAAAGACAGAAAATAATAATACTGAAATCTTGCTATTCACAGGAAACTACTCTCATTCGTTACAGTGCATGGCATTTTTACCTGTTTCACTGCGATTATTATTAAGATCTTTAGCACGTAGTATAATAAAACTCAGCTTTCTATTGTCAGGATCAAAACACATTGACAGCAGTATAGTCCCTTTACTCTCCTGCTGGTCCTACAAACACCAATAGAAGATTAACTTTTTATATTCTTTGATATAGGACAAGAGTATTATACATACTGATATAGGTGAGTAGCTTTTTTTTGAACACTCAATTTACACGTCAAAGTGTAAACAAGGTGTCAAAACAACTTGTAATTTTAAAACAATAATAATGGATAGTACTTACTGGAGGTGTAAGTGGTAACGAGGCGTTCACTTCACCATTGATAAAGTCCAATTGCTTCAGAGCTAGTTCGGCTTTACCTAAGAGGACGTGTTTACCAAAAGCTTTATAATCCAATGCTTCGACATGCAGTATAGTGTCCAGCAGTTCCTCCTGGCTCACGTTACTATATTTTATCTCTTCCTCAAATATCGGAGCAGAGCTTCGTCTCTCTGTGCGGGTCTTTGAGGTTCGTCTAGGGCTCCTTCTCTCAGGGTTTGTGGGTGTGAAATAAACTCGGACGTAAGCATCAACTTCGTTACCATCGTCACGAAAAGGGAGCGAGTCAACTTTTAGTATTTTAATGATGAGGTCAGCACTGACGGTGATATCGTACCGAACGGTGAAGAAGACTTCCGGAGTCTTGCCGCTGTTTGGTGATGCTACGGTGCTGGTCGGAGGAGCAGGGAGGACATAGGCCGCCGGTGACCCGGTACGATGGGAAGGAAGTGGCGATGGGTCACGGAGTTCTCCTTCGCTTGTAGCACCTGCTGAATTCTCAGAATCAAACGTCTCACCACGTCGTATCACACGTCCCCCACGTCTATGTCCTTTTCTTTTCTTATGCTGCTGTCTCCCTGTGTCTTCTCTAGCAGAAGATGCAGGCTCATATGGTTTTGGTTGTGACATTGGATTGGGTATGAACGGGTAACGCTCACGGAATTTAGGACTGCTGATTTCAGGCTGGCTGATCTGTGATGCTGTTGTGAAAGGTTGTATGCTGCTGGTATCAAAGCGATCCAGACTAGGAGGGAATGGGAGTCGCTTGGTGCTGCCACCACCGCCGAAAGCTTTATTCAAATTATCGATGGAGTCTTTGGTCGGTACGGGACGATAGGGAACTCTTTTGCCCTGTTGGATCATATGCCTCCTCTTCACTGCACAGTAAATGAGTATTGTTAGTCCAATAGCTGCTACAGTGAGTAGAACTATTACAAGGACAGCGGCTAATATCACAAGGTCATCGCTTCTGTCAGAAGATGGTAGAGTGCTCACTGTAGAAGAACTAGAACTTCCAGGCTGGCTGGTATTCATGACACTCTCCCCTCTCCTCCTTTCTCTCTCTATCTCATAATTCTGCACTTTTTAACGGGAGAAGCCCCATAAGTATTACCGACAATAACATGCCAATTATTATAAAATTTTATTAATGCAATAATTATTTCTCAGCAAAAAGGCAAATTGAAAAGTCCCTCTTAATTTTATTGTGTTTCTCCCTATCTCTTTCATTCAATGTGTTCATGGCTTGCATCGCTCAATATAGCGTGGGTAGAGAGTGACGTCACGAATATGATTACGTCCTAAGAGCCAAACCAAGTATCGTTCCATTCCAAGGCCATATCCACCATGAGGACAAGAACCATACTTACGCTACAAAAACAAAAAAAACAACAGTAACAATAATTAATACTCATAAAAGTCAGGTATATACAATTCTTAGTATTTAGTGGTTCAAAAACTACACATTGTCTTTTATAAGTTCATGGAACCAGTGGAGGTCATAAAACACTAATACGATGTTATCCTAAATCCTGTTAGCATCTGTTTTAAAACTGAAACTATAGCAATTTTAAAATTTTAGCTAGGAACCAAAAACTAACAGAAACGATGCCAAAAATAAACCAAAATGGTACACTTTAACCTAAAAAACACCATAACCAGTGATATAATCAGTTTACATACTCCACTTAAGAGTGCTTGTGAGATTCAAGGCTTGGCCTACCAAAACTTGTACCCCCTCACTCCAGTATTGTGTGTCAGGTAACAAGACATGACAGGAAGTATGTTCTGTATGAGTACAGCCCAAGAGAAGCCGATCAAAGAGCCAAATCTCTTTATAATTATTAAAATTAAATATGTACGCAAATTGTAATGTACTTTTAATCCATACAGGATACATAATAGTTAAACTCACTAAAACAGGGCAATAAAACAGACAACCTTTTAATGCAATTGTAAAACAGAGAACCTGTTAATGGTATACAATCGTGTAGTGCATGCTCATGTTTTGTACCGGAAGCTTTAATACAAAAGAATCCAGTGCAATGACTAGAGATTAATGGTTCAAATAAGTCCAATCAGTATAATACACACACAATGTTGAATCAGCATAATGGGTCATTACCTGATCAGTGTACCAGTAATATGGTGCTGGATCAATCCCTTCTCTCTTGAATCCGCTCAATAATTCCTCCTACAAAAACAACAGCATATATGTATGTGCATTCATGAGTGAAGACCATCCATAAATGCATTGCTGCTGTCATAGTAAACTTTATGACTTATGAGAATAACATACAGTATATACTCAACACTTAATGCATAATAAATATTATGTATACAGCTTGCTCAACACTTTATGCATAGTATACTGTAAATGGAGTCAGTATTTGTGACTGCAGTAATGTTCCCAATAGGTATACATTTACACTCAGTACATGATAGGGTTAACACTTAAATGCAGTGATTCAGGGCCAATGAAGAGTAGTATAACTGATGATTAACAATTTGATGTCAATAGGGCTCCAGATATTATTCAAATTAAACAGCTGCCTCTTTTTTAAATATTGTAAATATTATCATGCTTTTATACTACATTTTATGCAGACAATTTGTATAAAAACATCCTAAGTTGTGGCTGCCTAAAAATAGACTACACTTACCTCATTCCATATCCTCATTGAGCCACCAACAATCTCCCCCACACCTGGAACCAACAGATCAACCTACAAACACACACAACAGACTATGAAAGTGCATGACAAACAAATATCAATGAGTGTTTAAGTGAGGAAATCATGCACTATAGTATAATACAGAGTGAGCAGAAATACATATAAAGAGCCCTTATATTATGCATGTATAATGGTTTATGCATGTTGTCTCAATGTGCATCATGTACAGAGAGAGTACTGTATATGTTAAAGGTGTCTTTGGAGCAAATGAAGTGAAAGTAAACATTTAATGTATTTTTGGAGCAATGCAGCAAATGTTGGAGCATGTTTACCTCAGTATGTGCATGTGTGTGTGTGTGGATGCTAAATTGTGTGTCTAAGGATAAACACTAACTGATTCCGTGAGCCTCTTGTCTTCCGGACATCTCGGCATGTAAAATGATTTGATCTCAGCAGGAAAACGGCAGAGAAGAATAGGCTATCATATGAGAATAAAGAGATATACTTAATTAGTAACTGATAGTGTAGAGCATGACACACGGTATAGTAAACAGATATACCATATAAGCTAAATGAGACACCTACACTATAGAATATATACAAATGTACTTAATAATGCAATACTCATATCAAGACCTTATGTATGTACATGTGTTGTATGTGCATGTACATGTACATGCAGTTACAAACCTCATTAATTTTATCGGTCATCTTTCTCTCAGGAGCTTCCGGAATATCCTAAAAGTAATAAAAAATAAATTACTACTTCTCTTTATGTTGTCTTCTCTCTTCCTCCCTCTCTCCATTAAAGTCCTTCTCTCCTTGTCCCTCCCTCCCTCTCTCTCTTTGCCAATAATCCCACAGTACACATTACCTCTCCAAACTCATAAAAGGTGCCATCATCTTTAGTAATGTTGTTCTCCTTGAGGTACACTATAGCATCAGCATAATTCATCCTCCTGTATCAATATAATAAAAATACATTGTATGGTATGATAGTTAATAAAAAATACATACAAATGTAACTAAATTATTATAAAACAGATTGCAATACATGCCTGTATGCCTTTAATGATGTTATTTCAAATTTTAAACTGTCACCTGTCTATAGTGTATCTAGTCTAAGCCCTACACACTTTAGTAGCTATACTAGTACCATGCTCAAACACTAAGCCAAGATTGTTTACTATTCAACAACCACAAAAGGGCTGAATGAATTAAAGAGAATCTCTTCTTTAAGACACAAGATAAGATACAATAGCTTAAATAACCCGTTTACTAGTGGACTTGGGTCAGTAAACTTTCATCTGAACACATTCCATTCAACTTTGTGAAATGAAACGTGACACTTCACTCCATAAATACACATGTATAAACTATGAAGTAATGGAGGACTATATAGTTATTATTTCATACATTTGTTTCACTCAATCAATCAAAGCATATGCTAATAATTATACAACTTTGCCCACACAAGCTCAAGTTCACTTTAAAATCATCACCAGGAGTCGACTCATTATGTGTGTGTGCGTCTGGATGTGTGTAATTATACATTATGAAAATAATAAACAATCATTAGTAATGGTTGCTGACACAGCATAGCCTCGTGACTGGTCAACAGGAATCAACAGGAAGGGAAATGAGTTAATGTGTGCTTACTTGAACGGCTTCTTTGGCAACTTGATGTCCTGTTATAAGAAAATGGAAGAAGGAACATTATTCGCAAAATATATACTATAATCATCATGAATAATGATACAAAAGCTAGAGCAGTGTATAAAGTAATGAAAATGCTTTTAGAAAGTACAAGAAATAGTTTGAGCAGGATTTTGTAGTAAATCAAAATAAAGATAATACATGCATGAACACTGTACATGTACATGTATAACATGTATATGTATATGTACATGCACAACATGCACTCACTGGATTGAGTTCAAGTACAAGCTCCCATATTGGAGACTTGGAGAGTCGCTCAGCAACATCACAGACCTACACAGACATTAATAAGGAGAAGATACTTTGAAACAAATACAAGAAAGGTTATATGGATGAAGGTTTTATTTGTTAAGCAACTTTGAAAATTTATTTTAAAATATAAATTTTAAGTTAGGAATCAGCTCAAACTTTCTACATAGCATAAGTACATGTACATCAATATGTATCAGAAAATATAATAAAAACTTGGGGTGTTTCTAGAGCCATTAATTTTACAGAAAAAACCATGGGCTATTATAGTCCATGCTTTTTTTCAAAATTTGCTAGTTTTAAAAAAGTGCTCATAACTCCAGAATTTGAGCTTGGAATCGGCTCAAACTTTCTACACAGCATAAGGACATCAATATGCATCAGAAAATGTAATAAAAAGTTGAGGTGATTTCGTAGCCATTTTTTTGAAAAAACCATGGGCTATTTCATGCTTTTTTTCAAAATTTGCTAGTTTTTGAAAAGTGCTCATAACTCCAGAATTTGAGTTCGGAATTGGCTCAAACTTTCTACACAGCATAAAGGCATCAATATGCATTAGAAAATGTAATAAAAATTTGGGGTGATTTCGGGGCCATTTTTTCGAAAAAACCATGGGCTATAGTCCATGCTTTTTTTCAAAATTTGCTAGTTTTAAAAGTGCTCATAACTCTAGAAATTACAATAGAAAATTACAAAAAAAGAGAAGACCGATCATATATAAATCATTACCAGGTCCTCTACTTTGTCCAAGAGATCCTCAAATGAAATAAAGGGACACTCAGCTTCAATATGAGTGTATCTATAATAAAAACAATAGATTATAAGGAGACACAACAGTACAACTTTACTGATAATAGAATTAAACATTTTTATTATTAATATACCACATTACAATGTACATGTACATGGATAGTATAAGCTAGTGTATGATACTCATTATTTATTTATTTATCCATTTATTTATTTATTTATTTATTTGTTTATTTTATTTTATCTTACTCTGCAATGTGTCTTCTAGTTCGTGATGGTTCAGCACGATAAGACTGCGCCATACAAAACACATCACCCAGTGATGGGATGCAAGTCTCAAGGTATAACTGAGAAGACTGGGTTAGATAAGCCTACAAAATAATAATAATAATATATAATGGAAACATATATCTTAAGTTCATTTTATACTTCAGGATTTTTATAATTGTGTGTAATAATTCATAGAACATTAGATTATCAATACAATAGTTACATAGTTCAAACGTTTGCTAAATTAGTACACACAACTAAAGTTGTACTACAAGTATCATGATTCATACCTCATCACCAAAATAATCCAGTTTAAATAAAGTGGCTCCGCCCTCAACTTGTGTCTTTACCAAAGTGGGAGGAGTTACCTGTGACAGTGTAAAGCTAGTAACATGTGTACATGTACATGTATAAGTACCTCAATGTATCCTCTGTCAAAGAAGTGCTGACGAAAACTAAAAGAGAGAAGATGAAAATAGTTTTAAAAATCTACCTAGCTTTTTCTTCTCCCCCACCTCTCTCCCACTCTCTCTATCATTCGTTATCACTTACCAAAATCCCACCGTTGAACGAACTCGGAATATCTTTGACAACTAGACGTATTATAAAACAAAAAGAAAAATGTACATCTCAAAAAAGGGCAAAATCAAAAATAAAATAATAAAACATTGCCAACTAAAAGGTATTATTATTAGGTTTACCACGTCTCCCCTTAGCATCATGTGTCTTTGGTCTAACTGGACGTCAACCAGTGAGTCTTCATTCACTAGATTATCAGCTCCACCTGGAGGAGAGAGCCCAACCACCTCCCAATAATCACACACCAACTCGTGACCACCTGGAGCCTATTAGGAAATGTACAGGTAAATGTATATGTACATGTACATGTATTATATGTACATAACGTGTAGTGAAAAAATTGTGCATAATATAAATTTAAATTTGAAGGAGTAACATCCTGCAAATACAAATGTAATAGGAAGTGAATATTTAATAGAAATTACTGGTAAAAGATCTCTATTATTAGTACACTAGGAATATACAAGAGTATACTGACCGATTTCCCTTCAGGCAGTGCTTTAATCACACCATATACTTTAACAGTGGCTTCAGTTGAGAGGAGGAGAGCTTCATACGACTGACACTATAATAAAGAAAATAATAACATTACATGTGTATACTGTATAGCGCTTTAATTTTGCGGAGCTAAAATTTCGTGGATTGATAAAAATCAAATTTTTGCGGATTCACAATGCTAGTGCCACACCTTTAATGGCAATTGAAATTTTAGCGGATCTTTAATTTCGCGGTTTCATGCTAACCGCGAAAATAGCAAAAGTTTAGCTCCTCAAAAATAAAGCGCTATACGGTAATATTTATTTAAAAAATACTATACTAACCAGAACATTAGATAATACACATTGAAGTAGACCAGTACCATCTCTCAATACAATGAACATCAATGATGTACCTATCAATACAATAAGCATATTAATCATCGCAGCACTCCTATCACTATCAATAATACATGTATTTAAAGTGTGTTTGTGCCCTCATTTTACTGGTTAGATTGCAACAGGAATATCTATTCTCATAGCTAATAGCTAGGCATCACTCATATAGCTAGGACTGTAGTACATGTAGTGTACTCACACTTCTAACCAAAGTAATCTTATCCACGTGTATGTATACATCAGTTGAAGACTTAAAACATATACATGTTCAATTTACTAAATTACTATACATTATATATCATTTCCTGTTGTGATCATGTGACAGTGAGTGAAAGAAAACTATAACACAGTAAGAAAATGGCTACTAAAGGCCCATCAGAAGCTTTTGTGAGTGTTTGTGACAGAGAACTAGGTAAAGTGTCTATATTCTACTAATCTAATGTGATAGTTTCTCTCATTGTAATAGGCATTGATGACTTTTATGATGTGTATGATAAAATTGAGTCACTTTCTGCTCGTTGGAAGCCAATTGCCATTTCATTGCATATGAAACTGGACACCATCAGTAAAATAAGAGCTAATGCTAATGGAGATACGACTGCTTGTCTTCAAGAGGTCCTCGAGTGCTGGCTAAAGAAAGATTATGATTACGAACGTCATGGTGTTCCTTGCTGGAGGAGAGTGTGTGTGGCTGTTAAAAAAGGAGGTGACTCAGCATTAGCTGATGAAATAGCTCAGGAACATCCAGTTACTGAAGGGACTACCCCTCATACTAGAACTACTCGTGCTAGAGGAGCTGGTAAATAATATATTAAATTTCACATAATTTTAAAATAATACTATGTACTTAGCCTAAAACCTAAAATTTGAAAAAAATCCTTTTCTATGAATTTTAATTTTTACAAGTTCCCTGTAAGTACATGTGATTGGATGAAACACCGAAAACTTCATAGAATAAGCTTCTATGAAAACAGCAAAAGTTGTGGCCCATAACTAATTGTATCACAGTCTTTAATTTAAAAACATAATAGACAGATTGCTTTTAAAATATTTTTTAATGTGTTGCAAACTTTAAAATTCCTTATAAGTGGTTTTTTCAGGGAAATTATATTTCACAAATTCTGCTAAATTTTCAATTTGCAAATTTTAATTTTGCAAATTCTACCACGTGCCATGTGAGTACCATATTAAATTGATTTTGCAGATTTCATTTTTGCAAATCTGTGAAAATTGCAATGATAAAAAACTACTTACATGTATACATGTAGAATATCAAGAGTATACACTATCTAGTACCTATTAAAACTTTTACAAAATTAGAAGCATTTGAATGAATTTCAAGGGTCAGGTAAACTTTATAATCATTTTTAGGTTCTACAGCCAGTATACCGACTCCTTCTATCTATGTTCCTAAGACCATAACCAACTTTGAGCTACACAGAGAGTTATCTGAAATACAGGAGCAATTTGCTGAAGCGGTTCAAAAAACAATAAAATACTATCCAAAAGAATGGTTGCCAGATCTTATCGAATACATCACAGCACATATCACCACTTTACTTGGTCCTGAGCATACTCCAGATAAAGCACAGGCAGTTAGAAAAGAGTTCAAAAATATAACAACTATTGCAGATTTTTTTGGTTTACTACAAGATAAGTACACATCGTGGTTCAAGCACGAACCATTAACAAACCTTATTGTTGAAAATGACACCACCTGCCCATATCAAGATTATGAGAATGAATCAGACAAAGAGTATAATGAGGATCGTACTCCTAACCTTTACTATGTAGAAAAAGCACCAACTTCTTGGTATCGATATAAAGAACGTTTACATAGCTACTTTAAGAAGTGCATTACAGTAGCTGATCCTGCTTCATATGGAATAACTGATGCTCCTCCTGGTAAACAAATAATAGTAGTTAATGTTGATCGAGGTGACTATAATGAAAATGACCGCCACTTCTTACGAAAAGCAATACCACGAGAGCTTGACAGACCTGATTTGACACTCTACCTTTGCCAAGTTCTTTCTAATTAGAACTACCGGTACCAGTAGTTTAGAATTTTTTCTATTTGATACATGTACACATTGACAACTACATGTAAAGTTACTTGCATTAAACATATTTTTATAATACATTACTTTAGTATAATATTGATTTAATATCATTTCAATAATAATCTAAAATTCTTTAAAAATGATGCTTCAAATACAAAAGTTTTGATTCCAGGATATACACATTCATAATACAGTGATAGCTGACCTTGTCTCCTCAGTCTGTGTATCCATCCATTAATAGCAACACGAGTCTCACGATTAGCTATACTGTCACGTATCTTTATCTAAACATAATCAATAAAATACAATAGAAAATCTTACATGCATATTGATATAGATTTGATAAAAAGTGCTGCTAATTATTTTAACAGTTATATAAGTAATATAAATAATAACAATAATAATGGCCTCACAGTTTTAGCAGGGGGTAGAGATGGATCCTGCTCAAACTTGATCTGTTTTGCCTTTTCAAGATTCTCAGCACGACGAAGCATGTCTTCCTTCTACATAATCATAGTAAAAATTAATAATAACACAATAATGATATTAGTTCATTAATATTATACTGGACACAGTACAAGGAAAGAGGTACAAATGTTAGTGATTGTGTGTCTTACATCTTTCTCTTCTTTGGCTGCTCCTTTGTATTGCTCACGCTGGTATATCTTCTTAATCTTCTTTAATTGACTCAATGAGACTTCTTCATATCGCTGACAACAACAAATTAATAATAATAATAATAATAATAATAATAACAATAATAATAATAATAATAATAACGATAATATTAATAATAATAATAACGATAATATTAATAGTAAAAATAAAAATAATAACAATAAAAATAACAGTAATATTTAACTAATAGTTACTTCTTACTTTATCATCACTTTTAGCATCGACCATAATCAATGAAGATTCATCACTACCACTGGCTCTCAATGCCTACAGTACAACATAATACACATCATAGCAGCCATGAGCACAATTATAAGTAAAATTATGAGTGCATGTACAGTGCATGTACATGTATACCTGGAGTACAGTCTTGAATGGTTTAGATTCAGTACCATCGCCAGTTGAATCATCACCTTCCTTGTCAGACGTATAATACACTGTAATAATAATACACTGTAATAATAATACACTGTAATTTTCTTTTTTACTTTTAAAAAACCTCATAAACTAAAGATGGGTGGTTCAATAACAATTGCTAGTTTTATGGATACTACATTGTATTGATACAATGTAGATATATAGTACAGGAACATTGGCCAAATTTTGTCAAAAATTAAAAAGGAGGAAGCTCTATAATTTTTTTCTAATACATATACATGTACTTATGTTGTGTAGAAATGTTGAGCTCATTCCGATTTAAATTGGATGTTTTATAAATTTTTAAGCTGCTACGAAATTGGGCAAATGTCCCTGTACTATAGTATTGGGCTACATTTTGCCAAAATTTAAAAGGAGAGAATTTATTGGGGCGAGCCTGAGCTCGCCCCACTCTAGCTATACTCTCAGTCACGCCCCGTCTGTCCCTCTGTCTGTCTGTCTGTCCTCGTACGTCACCCCTATTTAACTGCATTCGAAATAATGCGGTATTTGAAAAAAATGAAAAAAAAATTATTGCTCTTATTGTCTTTTTTCCATCATATACGGTTTTTTGTAACACGTGTTGTTAGTAGTAAAAAGCAAGAAAACTTTTAACTATAAGAATTGTTACTTCTTATCAGCTATGAGCAGCTTTCAAGGAAGTAGCAGTAGCAAAGAAGAGAAGCGGCTTCTTCGCAATGAACGTGACAGAGAGAGAAGGAGGAACGAGACGTCTCAACAAAGAGAAGCTGAAGCTCGGCTAGCTAAAAGGAGAGTCAAGGATGGGGCTCGTCGAGAGGCTCGTAAGGAAAAGGAGCAACAGCTACAGAGACAACAACGTTTATCAGTGGACAGGAGTAGCTCTCGATCAAGAAGACAGCATGAGACAACTCCTGATAGAGAACTACGCCAAATAAAATTTGACAATGATAATTATAATAACAAATGCTTGCTCAGGCTCGCCCCCAAATGCTCTGCATTCATCTAGTATAATTATTTCTAAATGTAAATTGCTTGTTTGTGCCAACATATTACATAAGTACATAAAATATGTACATATCCTCAATTATTCATAAAGCCAGTTAGTTTGGGGTAACTACATCACAGTTTTAAAGATAATACAGACACACACACAATTGTATACATAAAGTACATGTGTTAAAATATCTCACAATTTATCTTGTCGGTGACTAACCTTTCTTACTAGCCTCGGCTGTACTGGCCATTCTTCAGTAAGTATATGGCACAAGAGAAGGAGGGCACGTGTACAAGAGAATGAATGAAAAAAGAGGACAACGTGAAAAGGGCCAAGCCAAAATGGTAAGGGACTTCCTCCTTGGTAATGAGTTAATGAATTTAATTAAAATTGTTGATAGTGTTAATACTCAATTCAAGTTTTTTGCTATAATAATTATTGGTGCAACTTGACATGATACACAAAAAATACATAACTACATTTCTACAAAATGGCACAAATTTACCATCATTCTAGTTGATAATAAGCAAACAAGGAAGGTAAATGTGATGCATGTTGTTTGCAAAGCCATCAGTGGAGTGTATCAATATTTTCATATTGTTTCTCTGTTGTTGGTGGACCAGAAATCTGTTCATATTCTGGTGTCCGTGATGAATAAGCTAAATTAACATCAACTGGGATATCTTTCAGTCTATCAATTGATCTACCTATAAAGTATAATACACACAATCCCATGGTTAAACTAACTTTTATTAATGGATTTCTTATGAAAATAGCAACTGATGATCAAAGCAGCTAATGCTGTTACTATAGATGAGATAATGCAACTCACAATCACTGAAGAGACAACTGCAACAACATTACTACTGCATTCACCTATCCATTTAAGCAAATGTTAAGTAGACATTATGATGTTATACGTACAAGAAGAAATCAGACAAGTAGGAGTTACAGTTGATATTTGAGTCTGGATTTTTGTAGTTTGTATTGATATTATAGCAGTACTACTATATATATTTGATAATAAAGAAGATACTATAAAATTATTAAGATAAATTGAATTTATGTCAACACAATGACAAACCTTGAGATTCAATAGTGACATTTACTTTTCCACTCTTTACAGATCCAGCTCCATTAGTGACTATACACTGGTATGCTCCTACATACTGTTGGGTGAGGGAAGAGATAGTGAGCTCAGAGTAAGAGGATTGTGTGATAACTGTGATATAAGGATCACTATTAGGATCAAGTAATGAGTCATTATGCTCCCACTTCACATCAATGGAATTATCATAAGTTTCATATGTACAATTGATAACAACAGGTCCTGTTGTTTGATAAATATAAATAGAAACTGCTGGAAGGCCTGACAAAGATAAACAATAACAAGTCAAATATTTAGATACAATAACTTACTTAGTGGCTGTACATTAACAGTGACTGTAGTTTCTCTGTTAATGCCTGGTAAATCAATGTGTGTTGATCGGCAAGTATAGCTACCACTAGCTGCTCTGTCAATATTTATTAAATTCAAGATTAAAGGAGGATTATTAATGACAGGTGTTAGTTCACTACCATCACTATCATTAATCCATACATAACGTACTGCATTGCCAGTATTACCAGGATCAGAACATGTTAATGTTAAATTAGAGCCTTCAATAATATTATTAGCTGTGCCATTAATAGATACTGTTGGGTTCAGAAAGACTATTTTTAAATAATTATAAACATATAGGCAAAGCAATTATGCTTAGTTCACCATAATTTCCAAAAGTTATCCTGCTTTGTTGACCAGCAGTTGATGATGAGCATGTTATAGTATCACCAACATTAACAAGATCATCAGGATACTCCAGGGTCATACGCATAGTATCAGATGTACTTGATAGATTAACATTTCCATTAAAGTCTCTATCATTCAGTACAGTACTGCCCTTCCTCCATACACCATCAGAAAAGGTAAAAAAGTTGCCTTCATTAGTAAAGAACCTACATTGAAGGCATAATGGCTCTGTCAATGGAACATGGATGGTTCTATCATTTAAAATAAAAAAAGAGACGACATCAGGAGGACATTGAGCCACAGTGAAACCTATAATAATGATGAAAATAATTTGCAATACAAAAAATTAGACTTCTCACCTACAGATAAGAAGGTTACCATCAAAGGAACAAGTAGATCTATCATATTCATCTTTGTTTATAACTCAAATTGATTCTATCAGACACTCCTACAACTGTTATTTTATTTGCAATAAACATAATAATGATACAAAAAATGATAATGAACTACAAACACAAAATATACTAATAATAAAAATAAAAGTAAAAAATTAATTGGAATAGTTTTTGTCACCATACTCATCCCCGTTGATGCCTATAGAAATAGCAAAATATAATCAAAATAGCTAATGTAGATATAATACAAGTAAGTCTGATAACTAACAGCAGCTGAAAAATTTAATTGTACATAGAGTACATTATCAATGATCGTACACCATCAATTTTCGGACACTTGTTTTAGGAAAACTATACATTGCCATCTCATGAAACTGCAAAGTATTATAGCAATAGTTATCCTTTATTTGCGTGACAAAAC